AATTTTTAAAAGGGGGTCAAGGATCCCGGCCAGCATGCCTCAGTGGTTGAGCGTCAACCTATGAACCAGGAGGTCACAGTTCGATTCCCTGTCAAGGGCACAGGCCCAGGTTGCGGGCTTGAACCCCAGTGGGGGGCGTGCAGGAGGCGGCCGATCCGTGATTCTCTCTCATCATGGATGTTTCTCTCTCTCTCTCTCTCTTTTCCTTCCTCTCTGGAATCAATAAAAATATATTTTAAAAATAAATAAATAGATTCCCTCCCGGGTCACGTCAGTGAGGATTCCTGGGGTTCAGGCAGGGCCGTGTTTGCTGGAGAAACGGCGTTGGCAGCCGGGTGTGCCGAGGAGAAATGGGGGGGGGTCAGGGGGAGAAGGTGTGTTGGGGGCTGTTCGGACCCCCCAGAGCAGCGGTTCCTGTGGGTCGCGACCCCTTTGGGGGTCGAACGCCCCTTTCACAGGGGTCACCTAAGACCATCGGAAAACACATCTATAATTACATATTGTTTTTGTGATTGATCACTATGCTTTATGTTCAATGTGTCACAATGAAATTGGGGGTCACCACAGCATGAGGAACTGTATTAAAGGGTCGCGGGTTAGGAAGGTTGAGAACCACTGGCCCAGAGCGAGGTGGGGAGGCGGGCGGTTGGCAGGGGCGGTGGCATCTGAGGAGGAGGCAGCTGCTGGGTGAGGGGTGCCTTGGGGAGAGGTTGAGGGGCTCCCCCCCCCATGACTGCATCGTGACCGTCGTCACTATTAGCTGCTGTTTTTATTTTTTTTAATCCTCACCTGAGGATATACTTTTTGAAATATGTTTTTATTGATTTCAGAGAGGACGGGAGAGGGAGAGGGAGAGGGAGAGAGAAGCATCGATGTGAGAGAGACACATCGATGGGTTGCCTCCTGCACGCGCCCCGACCAGGGCCGGGGTCAGGGAGGAGCCTGCAACCGGGGTAGGTGCCCTTGACTAGAATCGAACCCGGGACCCTTCAGTTTGCAGGCCGACGCTCTACCCACTGAGCCCCACCGGCCAGGGCTTAGCTGCTGTTTGCTGAGCGCCTACTATGTGCCTGCATCCTAGGAAACCCTTCTGCGTAAACGTCCCTGAATCTCGGGAGCACCCGTTCCCTCCTGAGCCCAGGGCCCCTGTGGGGAGAGAGACGGCAGATCCCTAAAGCCCCCATGTCCCGCTCGGGCCCCAGGAAGGGAAGGGCCCGGCGCGGTCCGAACCCGGGTGGTTCTGGAAAGAGAAGGAAGGAATTTAACATCGGGTCCCGCCTGGCGTCCGGCTGCAGGAACTCCTGTGCTGTGAGCCGCCGCCCCATCGTCAGGCTGGGGGAGGCGATGGCCACGCAGAAACCCCGCGAGCCACACTCCGGGGTCACAGGGTCAGCGGGGGGCGGGGGGGTGTCGGGGGAGCCGAGCAGCCGAGGGACACCCCGGAGTGCCTGCCCCGGGTCCGTGTTCTCTGGGCTCCAGCCACCAGCGGCGGCGACAGATGTTGACGAAGGGAAGTGGCTCATTTTTGCAAAAGCGCGGAAGGCGCTGGGTGAGCCCTTGAACTTAGCCCTTAAACCAGCCGTGGGCAAACTACGGCCCGTTTGAAATGAATAAAACTAAAAAAAAAAAAAGACCGTACCCTTTTATGTAATGATGTTTACTTTGAATTTATATTAGTTCACACAAACACTCCATCCATGCTTTTGTTCCGGCCCTCCGGTCCAGTTTAAGAACCCATTGTGGCCCTCGAGTCAAAAAGTTTGCCCACCCCGGCCTTAAACACAAGCAGGGACAGGCCCCGGTCACTGACGGGCCCCAGTCACCCGGTTAGCTGCTGTTTGCTGAGCACCTACTATGTGCCTGCACGAGGGGAAACCCTTCCGTGTAAACATCCCTGAATGAGGAATGTTGAGCTTGGTGGTGACAGCGTGCCTGCCCGGGGCCCGGGAACCCCAGTCCAACGGGTTTTGTTTTATTTTTTATTTATTTTTAAAAAAAATATATTTTATTGATTGTTTACAGAGAGGAAGGGAGAGGGATAGAGAGTTAGAAACATCGATGAGAGAGAAACATCGATCAGCTGCCCCCTGCACACCCCCCACTGGGGATGCACCCGCAACCAAGGCACATGCCCTTG